AAAGAGGACAAGTATAGTTGAGCATATTGTAATTGGAATGCTGACAGCGGGTAACAGAGTGTGAGAAAACAGAATCAATACTGAGACTGCAGAAGAAAAGTGAATGTTTTAAAACAGTGGCAAAGCCAGGAGCAGATCTCGTATCCAGGAGTTAGATATGCCTCCTTTGAAAGGGACCTGAAGGCTGGGAACATCCATCCTCCAGTTACAGATAGGCAGTACATATGACTAAACAGAAATTAAGACCACATTATATTTAATTTTCAGAAAAAGGCATGGGAAGCTGAGTTAATCTCAAGTGGTTTGGTAGCTCAGGAAACCAAACCAAGCTAGGATGCATTTTCCAATAGTTACTTCAATCAAGTTAAATGCAAAATTCTCAACCTTCCTAAATGTTAGTGTAGCCACAAACACAAGAAGTTAAATTTTACTTTTTTATTTATTTATTTAAATTTTTCTTTCCTCCTCAACCTAAAATTTTCATGGACAGTTTTCATCACTGCACAAAAACAAGCCTAAGGCAGACCGTGATTTGGGCTATGAGACCAAAATGCCCTGGGTTTCATGCTACTATTGGTAGCACTATCAAACCCAATACTTGGCCAAAATTAATTTTAAAATGAAGAGTAGCTGATTCCAAGCAGTACAGAGAAAAGCATTTAAAGATCTACAGCTATGGTAAGCCTGCTTTGTTCAAAGGCCATGTTAGGCAACAATTCAGGATGACTTCAGATTCTTTGCTTATGTAAACCTCCCACACTACTCTGGATAAAAGTTTTTATTGTCTCTTGTGGGATAGGAGACAATCTCATCCCAGTTTATGAAGGCCTGGCCTCAGACAGATGTCTTCAACTCTTACAGTCTGCACAGCAGCCGTACAAGCTACATCAGCATGAAGCCATCAGCCTGCAGGAAAGCCAGAGCAGCACACTGCTCAGCAGGAGCTCAAGAGTGCCCACAGATGCAAGAGCAGTAAAAATGCATTTAAAAAAAAAAAAAAAAAAGTGAAAAAGAAGCATGATGTGGAAAACCCCAGATGTGTGAGGGGCACTTTGCAGCTGGAGCTGTGAAAGGGTAAAGCACTGGAATGCCCACAATTAATTAGCCTTGGGAAGAAAGCTGAAAATGCTGTGTGCAGCTGACTGGCATGCTGCATGACCCAGTGTCAAGCTTTCTAACTGAGCTAGCCCTTACAAATGGCAGGGCCATGCTATCGACCCCATGACCAGATCTCTATCACCTATGCTATTGATACGCACATGCATATAGGTCTGGATTGCCCACAAAGGGGCTGTGGATTATATACACTTGAGTAACTGCAGGAGAACTAAAGTTTTACAGGTTTTTTGGCACAAGATGTCATGTTGGCACTTGGTTTGGAGAAGCAAAACAAGTTAGGTCCAATAGTCTCTCTGTGTGCATGTGCGCATATGCATGAGAACAAGAGAGAGACAAAGAGCTCGCTCAGACCTTATTATGTGCAGTGTGGGTTAGCTGGGGGAGTTCAAAATATCAGGAGACAGGGCAAAAGCATGACTTAATCTTTTCCTTTCTTTCTTTCATTCAGTCTCATGGTTTGTTCAGTCTGACTCATACAGCTTGAACTTCTGGGGCTGATGGTACTCACCACATAAAGCCTATTTCAAGGCTATGAGTGGATTTTAAATGGTAAATAAGCCTGGGATGATCCTCTGTGGTTAGAAGGGGGAAATCATTGCTTGCAGTTCTTTCAAGAAAAAAATCTGAAAATAAAACCCAGGCAATCTTCCTAGATCTTCACAAAAGCTCCAGTAAGAGTGTCACTGCTAAGATTTGGTTCATTTTTTGATTTACCCAAGCTGACTTGCTGACTTTCCTTCCCAACTCAACATTTTAGCCACAAACACAGAGAAAGGATTGCTGCTTACCTGTTCATTCGTTGTGCGCCCTCGGGCCACTAGAACAATATGGAAGCCAGTGAGACCAATAACTGGAATAAAGAATAACCCAGCCACACACATGACAGCCATTCTGTATCCAGGAGTTAAAGAAACTGGGATGAGTGAAGGGAAAAAGAGGCTATGAAAGAGAGAGAGAGGAAAAGGAGAAAAAAAAAATCTTGGAAATGCAGAGGGTGTCCTTCACCTTTAATTAGGCTAACTGCATTTTATCTCAAAGTTAAGTCCATCTGCTCCTAGCCTGAGTCCTTATCCTTGAGATGGTTAAAAAATGGGAACTCGTTGATTCTGGCTCTAACTATCTTGTAAAGACCATTTTGCACTAATCTATAAACAGAGGTAGCACCCCTCAGAGCCAGAGGTCCAAGTATTACCCTAGCATGCAGGGGGACTGCTTCTAGGGGAAACTCTGCTTTAAAATACAGTAAGAGAGTTTTAAATACAGTCAATAGTACCCAGCAGTTTAGAGTTGAACCCAATTGGAAGTAAAGTTTGGGGAGGCAGCATATCCTTCTGCTGGGTTGTCATGGCAAAGACTGAGATAGACAAAAGGTCAGCTATAGTTTTGGGGTAATTGATGGTTACACAGGTCAGATGGGTACAGAGGAAAACCTGCACTAAGCATTTACAGGGTAAGAGCAATGAGGATCAGGAGAGAAGTAGATCTCCACCAGTTCCAGGAAGACAACTCTTCAGATTCATTCTTCCACATTTTCCTCAAGGCCACCTTGAGTCTTGAAAGACAAAAAAGAAGGATACGTAATGGTGGTATGAGCTGCTCCCAGCTTTTCTATATGGTTTAATATGAAGATGAGCCCAAAGGTGAATACTCCAACCATGTGCGTACTTAAGGACAGCAAGAAGAGAAAAAAATAGCGGTAGTTCCTCCGTCCTATGCAATTGTTGACCCATGGGCAGTGATGGTCAAAATCCTTGTAAAGAAAGGGAGAGACAAGGAACAATATCCAAATGGTGAAAGGAGGTACAATGTCTTAGAGATAAATTTGAACCATCATCATGTAAAATTACATCAGGCTAGTTCTGCAGCTTTACAACATGCTACACTCTCTTTAAAAGGCTCTTCTTAGGACAAAGTGCTTTCTCATATATGGATGGAGAGGCACTTGTGTGTTTGTTTATAGGTTTCAAAGAGAGGATATAAAAAAAACCCAACAAGCTATTTATCTGCTAGCAGCAGAAGCACTAATTTTTTATCATCCTTAGGCATGAAGAGTCAATTACAATAAAGTTCTCCTAACCTAGAATGTTTTGAAGATGCAATACTGCTGCAGAATTCTCTGCCCCACATTTCTGTATTTATACAAAGCTGAATGAGTCCACTTTAAGCAATGGACATCACGAAAGATACTTTTTTACCAAGCAGGTCCCCAAAGAAAAGCAACATCTGGACAAGACACAGGCAGAGCTCTGCACAAGTCGATTAATAGTTATAAACCCGAACCTAACTATTTGTCTCAGTTAAAAGTTTGAAGTCCCTAATAAAGTCAGAGACCTTTTACCAGAAGATTTAATAATGAGGGCAAGCCAGAGACACCTTTAAAATGTCTTTACACAGTTTTATATGCATGTAAATCCACTGTCTTCAGTGGGATTATTCTTGACGTGAAGACAAGATCAGGTGCAAGAAATAAACCCTTCTTATTTCTGCGTTCTTCAGAACAGATATTACACACTCACTACATCAACAAATGATTTGTTTATTCTTTGTTTTGTGGTAATGCTATTTTTAAACACTCCACAAAGATGACAAAGGAGTTTTTGTATTTTAAGTTTTGTACAAGTTATTTACCAAAAAAATCACAAAATACAAGAAAATGGATTAGAGCTGTCTCAAAACACATTAGAAAATGACAGAGGCAATTCAATAAAGGTGATTTCAGGCTATATCTGAAATGCTGACACAGCATATGTCTATTATGCAAATCTGGTTGTATGCAGCCCAAAATATTTATCCATTATGAAACTATATAAGTACCTACTGCAAACACTTCAGTAAAAAACCCAAAAATCTGACTACTTTTGTCACAGATTCATTTTTGAGTCCCTCTGGTGACAGCAGGCTTTAGGTTTTAACTGATTTTATTTCTGCAAGTGTTGTTGGGTTTTGTTCTTTGTTCATTTTTATCAAATTAGCTCAGAAGTTTTATAATTGGGTGAAGAATTTTTATTGCACATTCTAGACTGAAAGTGAAAAGATGTGAATTACAACTCTGAATGGGTTCCACATGGAAAAGCCAGTAGAGTCACTCCTATCACTGTTTCCAAGCTCTTCCAGAATAGACAGATGAGTGGGAAATAAGCATCACAAGAATCAATAAAGCATGCTGTTTAAGACCATGATTTATTGATTTAAAAGTCATTAATGCTTTTTGCCTATATCCCTCCATAGCAGTCATAATTTAATTATACAAGCAGAGCTTCTTACTTGCCCACCAGAACAGTAAGGAATAGTCAACTGATCCGACCATCAATAAAACTTCTGGAGAGCTACACAGAGTCACCTTGCATTCTGCTATTTTATTTAGGTTACTTTTGGATTCTCTCCCATTTTCATTTCTTCTGCAGAACTGACTCCCATGGAGCCTTACGGCAGCACAAAATTGCAACTGTTTATACCAGTGAGTTTTGAGCAATCTTTTTCTGAGAAAATTTCATTTGTTGAAAATGGATTTTCATGCTGAGGCACTGGGGAGGACAGAAGAAAGAAATTCCATAGGACAACTGAGAGTTTACCATCATCTAAATAACCCTCAGGATCTACAATTAGTGAAAACATTTATTTTTTAAAACTAGCAATATATGACTCAGGTTTTCTACAAAAACTCCAGTTCTATTCAACAATTCACAGCAGTCTAAATTGTGTGACACAACTTATGAATAGCTGCGGCTATTCCCTTCTACTCAGGTACCTTGCCAGCTCCTTGCTCTCCATCTTCTCAAATACCGCATCCTTCTAAGTCCTTCCACAACAGGATAGCCTTGTCCTATTTATCGATAGTTACTAGGCACAGCACTGCTTCCAGATAATTATAACTTAGATACATACTACCCTGAAGGAGAAAATCACTGACACAAGATAAACTCAGGCAGCCTTTCTCTCACACAACTGTGCTGCTTTCTTTGGGACTCTTCCCTTGCTTACGGCAAAGAGGATTAGGACAAAGATGGTGTATACAGAATTCCAGCTGACTCTGGTATTTTTTTTACCTTTCTGACTACTAATTCCTTTCATTTTAATGGCACAGCTGAATATATTTTAGACATACTAAAGATTTCATCTTTCTACTGGAAAAAAAAAAAATAGACCTTGCAGCAGAATGATCCTTAAAAAGTGGAATTTTTAGCTCAGCAATAAAAAAAAATCCCACCTGACAATACACTGCCGGGGATACAGCACTCTGTACTTACAAGTTTGGGAGTTGTTTATAGCCCAAAAGCACATCTTACTGTTTGGGTTTTTTTTTTTTTTTAAATCCCATGTGCCTCACCAAGACCCTGGGGCTATCAAGAAACATTCAGAGCAATCAACATTAGAAACATTAACGAGTTCATGCTCTGAGTTGGGGAGCTGAAACAAACATGGGGTCCTTCAATTGACTGGGGAACCACTCATTGAATTCTGAGTTTAACTTTCCTAAAGCTCACACACCACTCTAGCTTCTCTGTCGAAAGGGACCTGGGAGTCCTGGTGGACAACAGGATGACCATGAGCCAGCAATGTGCCCTGGCAGCCAAGAAGACCAATGGCGTCCTGGGGTGCATCAAGAAGAGTGTGGCCAGCAGGTCGAGGGAGGTCATCCTCCCCCTCTACTCTGCCCTGGGGAGGCCGCATCTGGAGTATTGTGTCCAGTTCTGGGCTCCCCAGTTCAAGAAGGACAGGGAACAGCTAGGGAGGGTCCAGCAAAGGGCTACAAAGATGATTAGGGGATTGAAGCATCTTTCTTATGAGGAAAGGCTGAGGCACTTGGGTCTTTTCAGCCTAGAAGAAAGAAGATTGAGGGGGGATCTTATCAATACTTGTAAATACTTAAAGGGAGGGTGACAGGGGGATGGGAACAGTAATTTTTCAGTGGTGCCCAGTGATAGGACAAGAGGTAATGGGCACAAACTTGAGCATAGGAATTTCCATTTAAAAATGAGGAGGGACTTCTTTACTTTGAGTGTGGCAGGGCACTGGCACAGGCTGCCCAGAGATGTGGTGGAGTCTCCCACTCTGGAGACATTCAAAACCCGCCTGGATGCTGTCCTGTGCAACGTGCTGTAGGTGACCCTGCTCTGGCAGGGGAGTTGGACTGGGTGATCTCCAGAGGTGCCCTCCAACCCCGACCATTGTGTGATTCTGTGATTCTCTGCTTGTCCACTAATATAGGCACCAGTTTGTTCCAAATTAAATGATGAGGCCTAAGCTCACACATGACACACTACAACGGTTCACTCTGAATTTCCTGCCCTCCTGAACTCTGCCTCTTTGTTCACCCCTTTGTTACATTCACAATCCCTTAGATAGTTCAAGGAAGGCATAGCCAGCATTATAAATTCTTATTCTAATTATCACTGGCAACAAAGCTGACATCAAACATTATTGCATATATAACATACATCATAACTGAGGGCTATGTTTCAAATGGTACTAATTAGCAGGAGTCCACCAACAAGGCTGTATCTGGGAACTTCCAAGAACGGAAATACTGAGGGAACCACCCAACTGCATGTTTCCAGCAGCATGTGCAATCTCATCATCAAGGCAAAGCCAAGAGATCGTGTAATCAACAGAACTGTTACCTCAACACAGTTGTCACAGACGCTGCAGTGAGAGCAGCGTGGAGGACGGTAGAAGTGGCAGGTGGCACACCACTTCATCCGTACTTGGATTCCTTTAATCTCCACATTCTTGTAGAGTGGAGCTCGGAAGTCGTCATCTTTATCTTCATCTTCATCTGCTGCTCAATGCAAAACTAAAAGTTAGTGGAAATAACAGAGGGTAAAGATAAAAGAGCTAATCCAGTCAGTGCCTTGGATACAAGGGCGCTGTACGTGCTCTTGGGCTTGTCAGAGAAATAACAGAGTGGTGGAAGTGACGGACTGTCAGAACAGGTTGTCCGGGCAGCAGAACACTTCAGTGATCAAGGCTCATTTTAGCACCTCACACAGGAGTGCTGTGCACCCCCACCCACCAGCCTCTGGACAAAGAGAGGTGTTTGAGTCTTGTCTTAGCCAGCATTTGTAACCCAAATGAGTAAGATGAGCTGCAGTCAAAGGGGATGGAAATCACCCCAGCCCTTGCTGTGAGAAGTTCTGCTGCATGCTTTTGGGATTAATTCAATGCTAGCCTACCAGCACATAAAGTGAAAGAAAGTACATTGGCAAATATTAGAAGAAGGTTGTGCTAGCTCAAACCCCCTAAGTGACAATGATTTGTTCAGCACTCTAGTGTCAGCCCACAATCATCCCAAAGACCTGTTGATCCAGGGAGTCTGATGCCACAGTGTGTGCCCGTGAAAAGTCCTTACATCAGTGCTTACTTCTTTATAGCATATCCCGTGCTGACCTCTTCATAGCATACCCAGAATGCTCTTGCTTTAGAAACAGTACATAACTGGGAAGATCTCACCTCTCTCAAAGGCAGCATGGTCTACTGATCTGAGCACAGGACTGGGAGTCAGGAAGTCCTGTATTCTAATTTTCTCACTCTGTGGCCTTGAGCTAGTCATTTAGCCTCTCTTTGCCATTAGTAAGATGAGGATGACAATATCGCAGTCATTTTATTAGGGACAACACGGAGGGCAGATGGTTTATCATCTCAGCTAAGCACTGCCCTGTTTAAGAAAAGAGGCAATTTACAAATAAATGCACAAAATAAAAGCCAGTCTATAACAGACAAATATATATTGGGAAGAAAAGGAAAAAAATGAGAATGACATTCATGAAAATTCATCTTTTATTCTAGATTCCTGTGATCTTTATTTGTTTCCTTTTGACAGAGAAAAATCCAAGAAGTTCATGTCTATTTAACACCTGGTTAAACATTATAGTGCAGCTGGCATTGGTTGACTGGCTCCGAATTAGGTGGAATTTGATAATATTGTCCCAGTGGGGCATCAATCATTGTCATTTAGTTCCATATTAAATCTTCTCTAGATGTGTTGTCATGATCCAGTTTCCATTTACTCCCTTCACTTAGATAAGCTTGGTATCTGGCTCAGCTACAGTATTTACCTTGCAAGAGTATTCTCTGGATTAACATTTGTGCGTGGAAGCAGACTGCTGTAGTGGCACCATTCTCTGTAAGTTTCCTTCATAACTAGTCAGTGGGTCCCTTAGCGAGAGCTAGACTCTAAACCCCTTCGGCACTTCTATAAATACAATCTGTAGGTTCTTCAATACTACTATAAACTAGCCCATGCTGTATAATACATGTGGGCATATGAAAACAAGACATTAGAACAGTCAAACCATTTAAGCTCTTGTAAAAAAACTGACTATGCAGACATAAAGTCTGTACATTGTATATGCCTACATGCATATAATCACATCAGCCTTGCAAAACTGACACACACTTGAAGAGCTTGTATACAACAGATTCACATCAAAATTACTGGAAGCCAGATTGCAGTTGGTATCTATAATTAGCCAGCAACAAACATTGCCAGTCTCAACCCAAAGCGTAAATCAGATTTGTCGGGGTAGCCTCAATTTCAGTGACTTAATATTTCCTTTCCTTCTCATTCATTTCGGTGTATTACTAGCAACTCACTCGCACAGAGCCCATCCTAATTCATACCAGAAACATTCAGCGAGACAACAAACTAAAAAATGATTCAAAAATGCATAATGGATCTGGGAGTTTGATTCAGCCCCTCTTCAACAATACAAAAATGAGCTGAGTTTACTTCACCCCATAGCCCGAGTTCTATCTGCCAGACAACTTGTAAGCTCATACGATCAGCTAGAAATGTGCTTATTTCCAGCTTTCAGTGATCTGAACGGAAGAATACATTAGCAGAGGAATGTATCTTACTACACAGATTCTCATACTCTGATTCACTGACACAGGGCAGCCAAGTCTCGTGGTTTTATAACATATATTATGATTTTTGGCGGCTTCCTTAAAGGAATCGTGTGATTTCATTTGAATCTCGGCTCTTGTATTGCTTATTTGTTGTTTTGGTTTTGAAGCAAATTTGTAACTATAAGAAATGTGTTAAGCAGCTTGAAAACCAAGATGACTAAAACTAATTTCAATAACAGAAAGCAAATAGATCCATTGTACATTCATTTTAAATCACTCCTACAATTTTTGAACTCCTTGCGCTGGCAGCTCTGCGGGCGGCGTGGGGGGGTGATAGCTTTTTTCACATGCACACTTGTCATCTGAAATAACATCTGCTCCTCTTTCCTCCCAGCACTGGTATTTATAGTCTTTTCCATCTTTTCTTTTCCTTATCAGTTTGCTTCCTTCAAACAGCTGAACTCCTACTCCATCACTTTCTTCCAGGATAACTTCTATCCCTTTCCTCATCCTTTCCCCACTCCCCTTGCTCCCAGCCTCCTCCAGACCAAGCACATGCACAGAATAGAGCTATAAGACCAAGGCCACAAATGAAGAGAAAGAGACAGAAGAAAGGCGAGCTGTAGGAAACTCCTCCTCTTCCTGCTTTGCTCCCAACTCCCTTGTGTTAAAGGAGATGGGAAGGAAGGGAAGGTGATGAGAAAGTTTCAAAGTTTCTATTTGATCTCCCTGTGTGTTTCTCCTTTAAATGCAAAGTCCAAAATAAAGAACTAGTTTGGAAAAGGAAGTTAGAAAAGGCAAAGGAAGGTATGAATTTACAATACACTCAGTACTGATCACTCATAGGGCGCGGTGAGCGCCCAGCTGCAGGCTTTGTTCTGAGGGAACTACGTTGCACAAAGATATTAGATTCCCAAACTGAGATTTTCAAAACTGAACAACTTTATTCCAGCTCTCCTCCTACTGAAGGCAAAGAGCGTGGATGCTTTCAATAACCTCACACCCAAAACATGCTTAACCACTGCTATGTCTGCTAAGATGGAGGAACTAAGAAGTCCAGGGAACTCGTTCAAAGCTCAAATTGCTTAAGCTCTTCTGCAAATCTCACTAGCACCTATTTGTACCTTTAAGCACCTAAACACTGCATCACTTAATCTTGCACAAATGACTGAATCTTGCCTTTCCCTTAGTTTGCCTTTACACATAATTATTTCCTTAACTGGAGTGCTGCAACATTTAAACAGGGGTTCAAAAGCTTCAGCTGAAAAGAATGGCAGACAGATGCTCATCATTAGACCTGCTACCTGGAGAAACCTGGCACTTGCTATTCAGGGAAGCCAGCAGGTCAGGTGCCTTGTTCTTGTCAGGTAGCAATTCAAAATAGATACTGAATTCAGTGAATAGAGGTGAGAAAGCACAGCTTGCAGAGAGCAGAGATCCACTGGTTTAGCAAGACTGCCTGGAGCAGTCTCTGCTGCAAACTGCATGTGAATAATTATTGGAAGACGGATGAAATTAGGTGATAATTCTCTCATTAGGATGTGTTAAAAGAGATAGCTGCACTGTGGTTCCCATTACAAAAGCTGAGCGATCTTTATCCTATTTAATCAGCTGTGAATCAGTACTAATTTAAGCAGGCATATCTTTCTAAATGTATACATTTTTACACACTAAGGCAAGCCTTAATCATTATCTTTTTTAGCACTCAATGCTTTTGCATTTGTTTTAAGGCTTTCTGGAAGGTCTGCTTTGATGAAGCTGTTTCAGAAAGTTTAGCCTCTCCCCTCCACCATGCTTTGCTACCTATTGTGAAGACAGTGACTTAAATCCAGTGTGCCAGCATGACACAGGGGATGGCAATCGCAATCACATCAGTCAGGAGAGCTACTCAAGGAGAACCATTCTACGCAACCCTGTACCCTCAACTGCCAGTCTGAGCAAGTGCAAGGACAACTGACACCTCCTAGCTCAGAAGAGAAATGGAGGGTATCCAACATTTCATTACCATCCCACCTCTGCTGCCAGCTGAGTAGAATAAATAAATAAATAAAGTCTACAAGAAAGATTTCCAGAAAAAAGGGGATTAGTCAGTAAACAGTGTATTTGGATATCTGACACCTCCTTTGGCTTGGGTTTTCAATTCCCCCCCACAACAGTCCCATTCTCTGTTACCTCGTGGGAAAACTCCAGGGTCCATGAAAGTTGCCATGCTGAAGTTTGCCAGTACAAACAAGAACACGAGCCCATTGTACACTGGGATAGCTGGGGAGATAGCTTTTGTCAACCAGGGGCACCTGTGGAGAAGAAAAGTTATAGGTAAGGGTTCTTTCGGCTGTAACACATAGTTTCTTCCCATTCACCATCATCACATAGAGAAGTAGTCTTGTCCCCTCCCGACCAGCCATGCAGCAAGGCTGAATTTGCAATTTAACAACAGAAATTTCCATTGAGCCAGTTTCAGTGATCTGAAGTACACTGCAGACACCCTTTGTAAAGCTGCTTTGTTCCAAAGCACAGAAAGCATCAATTGTTCACCCGGCTCATAGAGCTTTGCCTTATTTGCAACCTGGCATTTTGCTTCTCTGTAAAACCTTCATCCCATTGTTGCATTTCTGTTTACCTTCTATATACTCTTGTTGCAGTTGGCATTACTTTCAATTCTCACTGGTGTAAAACAGAATAGGATTCTTAAACCACTGATCTTGACAGCAGGTACAAAGAGAAGCACACTCACTTCTCACTATGATTCCCCAAGTGGTTTTCAACTCCAAATAACACTCAAAACCAACACTACAAAACCTCTCCTTGGGGTAAAGTTTAGTCAGACTAAGTATGGGTTCTGCAGGTGTCAGCACAATGGAAGAATGCCATATCAAAAAGAAAGTGTATGACATCTGCCATGTGAGCACTTTTCAGCAACACCAGAAAGGCCTACTGTCTACTTGGCATATGTAACTGAGAGGAACTGAAGATAAAGGGTAAAGGAGAAAAAGTAGGAGACTTGGGGAAAAGGATGGAGAAATGCCTGTTTGTTATAGGACAATTGTCCTAGCTGCAAAGAACACTACCCACCAGCAGAGCCCAGGACCGAGGCAGAAAACAGCCTGTCTTACAGGCAACTTTACCCAATAAAAAGCCGTGTTCATTCCCTCAGCCATTTACCACCTCTCTACAGCTTATCTCTAAACCCTAGACCAAATCTGCTTCTCTGTTCTGCATAAAGAGGTTTGGTGTTATAGGGCTGCTGAGGGGAAAAATCTAATCAATGGCATGGATCTTGCAAATATAAGTAAGGAAAAAAGTGGGACACAGAATTTCTTTGAAAAAAGTAAGACCCCTGACTGAGTGGCTCCTTAGACTTCTACCTGCCTTGACAGCCAGGGACTCCTCCAAAACTGGTGAGCCCAGCCGTTCAGCAGCAATACTTTGCCACCATTAGCACAAATCATATGCTGGCCTACATACTCTGGATTGTATTTTGCCTCAATTATATCTACGGTTGAATCTGATTGTCTGCCAGGCTGAAGCCTGTGGAGAGGAAGGAAAAACAACAACAAACAACCAGCCTTCTCTCACATATAATTCGCACTGGTTTTGCTACCAATATGCTATTTTGAACAGCTGAGAATGATGTTATTGACCTTGAAGAGACAGTGTTAAACACGCTCTTGTGGCCAGCATTAGAAGAGCACCACGTTTTCTCCTCCCATTTCTTTGTTAGCAGGCAGGAAGAGATTGTTTTGCGCTCCCTTCCTCTTCACAGCCAGGCTTTTACATTGCACTGCGGCAAACTGCTTTTTAAAGGACCTTTCCTTGTGTGTGCTTCAGTCCGGCCTGGAGCAAGTAAAAGAGGGACCAATCCTGCCCAGGGTGAAGGAACTGTAAACCAAAGAGCAAGACACGTCTGTGGCTGGGGCCAAACCTCCAGGCTGAGTAGGGGAGAAGGAAAAAGTAAATCTTACTTAAGTAAGGATGCTTTGCTACAGCCCACAGAAGGGAAGCAGAAGCACAGGGTTTCTCCTGGGACTGGTCTTAAGCAGGGAAAAGCCCAGGAAGTTAACATCTATTAAGAGAACAGGAAAGGGCTGAGAGCTCAGTGGAGAGCTCAATTTCTCTGTGTTTCTCTTGCATTCGGGATCTCATCCAGGTGGTCGTGGAGCTTGGGTAAAGGATCAGGTCTTGTACAAGAGAAAGCTGATGGAGATGAACTAGCTCAGACAGACCCAGCTGAAGAAAGCTTGACTCCATGAGGTACCCTAACATTCCCTAAGAGGTGGAATTTCAAGGTGCAGCTAGGTCATACTGACTTGCTGCCATGCTCAGCTTTCCTCAAAGCAGCTGCCAATGACTAAAACCAAGGCAAGGGAGAAGTTTCTCTCTTGCCATGAAATGTGCCACAGTGACCTTGCCAAGCAAGCTGCAGACCTGTCACTAACAACAGTTTCTGCCAGATCCTTTGGAGGAAAGCAAAAGAAGTCCTGAAAGAAGCAGTTATAGAATGAATTCTACCCAGGGAAGGGTTCTTCCCTCTAAATTATAGTAAAATTAGATTCAGCAATGGGCATGGCTGACTTAATTTCTTTCCATGAAGTAACTGCCTGCACAGAGAAAGATTATTAAGTTACCCATTGCTTGTCAAGCATGGAGGAGAGATTTCCTTGGCAATAAAGTCAAGTAAGTTGGCAAATCAAGGAACAGGAAACTTTTTCTTACAGATAACTAGTTACTCAGAATAAAATTATAATGAGAGAGACTGTCTCAGATGATTAATGTAAGCATTTCTTAATGTCCTCATTTGTGATTTACTTTGTCATGTTCCCAACAAATACATCAAAATACTAGGAAGAGCTTTACCCCCATAAGCTAAACTAAACAGCTCATTTAATGGGTAAATAGTGTATCTGAAAATACTTCACGGAAGTTGAAATAAAGGATAGAGTGAGTCATTGTACATACTAGCCAGAAGGTCTATTCACAATCCTTCTGTTTTTTCTTCCCAGAATCTTTATGCAGCATTACAGATTACATAAAATTAGATGGGACAAAAGGGGCCTCATTCGTAAACTAGACTGACCGATAAAAACAGATGTGGAGATCAAGTTCTGGCTTGTAACTGTGAAAAAGTCTGAAAAAGAAAATAAAATTGCTACTAGGATTCCCAAAAAATGACGTATCCTCCCTGTCCCTCTCCCCTAATGCATAGATAATTTTAGACAAAGTAACAAAAATTCTAATCCAAGTCTGTTAGGTTGTTTTATCACTAATCCATCATGCAAAAAAGTCTGGCTTCTGACCCTCTGCACTCTCTGCCTAGAGAGGGAAGCTGCAGAAATGTTTGAGCAGGACCTGTAGTGCATTTCCTTTTTCTTTGTACATATCCTCTCTCCAGGAGATCATCTTCTAGCTGCAATAATGCCAATCTATGGGACAACTTTAGCTGAACTTTCAGTTGCTTTTTCTAACAGAAGTTGTTGTGGATCTAGATAAAAACCACATGGATTCAAAGCTTACTTTGGTTGGTGAACCCAAAATTTCAAAAGCCTACAGTCTTTATGTCTTCAACTCATCTCACAGGGGAATTATATAGTATGAAGGTTACCACAAATTTTATAGGGTCATATAAATTAAGTAGAGCCAAGAGCAGTGTATAGTCCCCTAATGGAGCACCAACACCAGATTTTTCTGAGAGAAAAACTAAACCCCACGATTTCTGATGTGCACTGACATCTAGGAGCAAAACCACCAAGTCTTAACCCAAAGCTTTTCTATTACAGCTTAATTATTGTCAAAGAAAGCTGCACCCTTTCCGTTTGCAGGAGCACCTGTAAAATCATGGTCATTGCAGAGGTCAAAGGCAATACCCTTGGACCACCAAAAAGTTAAGTGATGGAACACAGCACCCGATGTGCTATGACTTGCACAATCAATGCACATTCAACATTTAAGTTCAAGGTAGACGTGAAAATAAATGTACGATGACTGCTCTATTCCAAGTTAGTTTGGATCCCTCACTTGAACCAGGGGACCTGAAGGATAATATTGCTACTGTTGTGAGTACCAGCCATGCTACATCAAGAACTAACTGCTCAGGAGAGAAACCTTCAATGGTTTTGTTTACTGTAGAAATTAAGAGCCAGCACACACCACTGTGACATACTAGAGATAATTATGGATCTCAAATTCTTCTGAACTAAGCACACAATTACACAGGCAGCATTTTCCTCATAATTATACTTCTGCGACACAGAGTGACTCTGGTCGTAACTCAGAGGAGAGTAATTCAGGATGACAGATTTAATCTCAATTATTCTATTTGCTCTTGAAATCCTACCCTAATAAAATGGAAAGTTAAAAAGATTAACAAATAGGATCACACAACTTGGTAGGTGTCAGATAGACTTACACATCATTGGCTGCCTTGCTCTGCTAAATTAAAAAACAAATAATCCTTTCTGCTTTTTTGCTTGGTGCTTTGTAGCAAGATGTGTTTGTGTCTTATAATTACAGTTCACTTATAATTAAGTAATTGAACGGGACATTTTTCTTGAATCCTGCTCTAAATTAAGATTTGATGGTTTTTATTAAAACCTTACACATGCTTAGAGAGGCAGCAGGCCATACAGGAAGGAGCCTGGGATTTCAAGAACCGGTTTTTAGTCTTGGCTCTGACATTGGCTTGCAGAGTGGCTGAAAGCCGTCTGCTTCTTCCCTCGCCCTAGTTAGGCCTTTTGCAAATGAGACATGAACTCCTGACGAACCATGCAGGACAGAGAAGGGATCACCTTTGATTTTGGAAATCTCAAAGGGTCTTTGCTGGGGACAGGCTGGTGGCCCTGGTGTTCACTTCCCTGGAGCCCCGCACTGGGCACCCACCACCCTCTCCTGAACTGGGCAGGGGTGAGGCACACCGCTCCTGCTGATGGGCTGCGTGAGGACTTGTCTGTGATTTACCTAGTAAACAAGGCCACTGGTTCGTTTTACACTCTGCCTGGAGCACAACAAGCACGTGTGCACACAGGCTCCCTCGGGGTGCTGGGTGCCTGGAGGCCAGAGACAAGGAGCAGAACATGGAGCAGGAGGCTACAACCCTTCTCTTTCCAACAGAAAGACAGTGAAATCTGCTTGTGTAGTGCACAGAGAAGATGTGGGAACCTCAAGAGTACAGACAGGCACCCAAACTTTGGTTAGTTACCCACACCTAATAAGACGACTCCAGAGAATGTCTATTTGGCTGCTCAGCTGCACCTAGTATTTGATCTGAGGTTACCACACACCCTTCCCCTCACTCTCAAACAGATGGCTGATATGCCACAAAACAATTTATTTCTGCAGAAATCACAAGGCATGGGTTTATAA